TTTTGAGACGGAGTTTCACTCATGTTACCCAGGCTGGAGTGCAATGGCGCGATCTCGGCTCACCGCAACCTCCGCCTCCTGGGTTCAGGCAATTCTCCTGCCTCAGCCTCCTGAGTAGTTGGGATTACAGGCACGCACCACCATGCCCATCTAATTTTTTGTATTTTTAGTAGAGACGGGGTTTCACCATGTTGACCAGGATGGTCTCGATCTCTTGACCTCGTGATCCACCCGCCTCTGCCTCCCAAAGTGCTGGGATTACAGGCTTGAGCCACCGCGCCCGGCTGATGTATTCATTTTTGAGACAGAGGCTCGCCCTGTCCGCCAGGCTGGAGGGCAGTGGCACAATCCCAGGTTCAAGTGACTCTCCTGCCTCAGCCTTTCAAGTAGCTGAGGTTGCAAGTGCATGCCACCATGCCCCACTAATTTTTGTGTCTTTTTCAGTAGAGATAGGGTTTCAATATGTTGGCCAAGTTGGTCTCCAACTCCTGACCTTCAGTGAGCACATGGACAGGAAAGAAGAGATCAAGGCCTGTTCTTTGTTTCCATCTTTGGCGTTTTGAGACAGTCTCACTCTGTCGCCTGGGATGAAGTGCAGTAGTGTAACCTCACCTCACTGCAACCTCTGCCTCCTGGGTTCAAGCAGTTCTTTTTGTTCTGTTTTTGGAGCCAGCGTCTTGCTGTGTCTGCCAGGCTGGACTGCAGTGGTATGATCTGAGCTCACCGCAATCTCAGCTTCCCAAGTAGTTGGGATTGCATGCACGTACCCACCTGTCAGATTTAAAAAAATATATTTTTAGACACAGTTTCACCATGTTGGCCAGACTGTTCTTAGGTGATTTGCCTACCTAGGCCTCCCAAAATGGTGGGATTACAGGCATGAACCACTACACTCAGCCTTTTTTTCTAATGTCGAACATGGCATCCATCGTGAATTTGGGTGTCACCTCTGTGCAAAGGCCTTGGTAATCTCTGTCATTCCATTCATGTTTTTATGTGTGTTGCCAAAGCAAGCAGTTACATGTAGGAAGTGTTCTTCATGTGAGCTTATAGTATATCCTCAAAAAAAAAGAAAAAACTTTTTTTTTTGGTCAGGATCTCAAAAATACACGATGTGTATTTCATTATACAATCTTATATAATTATAGACACACAAAATAGTCTTCTACACACAGAGAATATTCTTTTTTTTTTTTTAAGACGGAGTTTCACTCATGTTACCCAGGCTGGAGTGCAATGGCGCGATCTCGGCTCACCGCAACCTCCGCCTCCTGGGTTCAGGCAATTCTCCTGCCTCAGCCTCCTGAGTAGCTGGGATTACAGGCACGCACCACCATGCCCAGCTAATTTTTTGTATTTTTAGTAGAGACGGGGTTTCACCATGTTGACCAGGATGGTCTCGATCTCTTGACCTCGTGATCCACCCGCCTCGGCCTCCCAAGGTGCTGGGATTACAGGCTTGAGCCACCGCGCCCGGCCAGAGAATATTCTTACATCACTTTGAGGTTGTGTGTGTTTGTGTAAGTCTTTTTAACTTTTTTGAGACACAGCGTGGTTATATTGCCAAGGCCAGTGTGCAGTGGTGCCATCTCTGATCACTGTCACCTCCACCTGCCACCTCAGCCTCCTGGATTAGTGTCCGTAAGTGAACACCACCACACTTGGCTACATTTTGTATTTTTTGTACAGATGACGTTTCACTATGTTGCCCAGGCTTGTCTCAAACTGCTGAGCTCAAGTGGTTCTCCTGCCTCGGCTTCCTAAAGTGCTGGGATTAGAGATGCGAGCCACCGCAACACACCCATACTTGTGTATTTCTGTTGAAATTGTACTGAGGAGCTCTTACAGCATAGTCTGTAGTCTATCCTGGAGGATGTCTGCGTGTGCGACAGTGTATTTTCTTCAACATTTTAGATTCCATTTTGGATGCTCTCATTGGGACTGTGTGTCCCTGTGCTGGAACTCAAGTGAAACTTGGCTCAACATCCGTTGCTCTTCTCTAGAAATCCAGCCTAATTCTCTTGGTTAAAGATAAGGTATGTCTAGTATGCATTGTTCTTTCTCTTTGGAGACAAAACTCAGGAGGATTGCCCCTTCATGAACAAGGGGTCACCAGCTGAGCCTTGTAAGCAAGGAAGTGGAGATGGTCCTTTCAGGGGATTATGATCTGGATTCCAGAAAACATGCAAACAGGGCCACTAAATGCATCTTTATTTTTGTGTCCATTTTAACCTTGTTGCACAAATTCCAACAAAAAACCCATTGTGCTGGAGCAAGAATATCTCATGCTGTGACCCTCCCGAGAGAAGCACTTTCTGTTTGAAAGAAAAGAAGTCGCTTCCCTCAGGGGGGTTACTGTTTGAGAAAAGCAACGTTCAAATTGATGCTGATCTTGGTAAGACATTTGCAGGGCATGCTTATAATCAGACCTAGATGATGTTGGGGTTCTGTTTTTGTTTTGTTTTTTTCTAAGACAGGGTCTCTCTTGCCCAGCGTGGAGTGTGGTGGCACTTCCAACCTAGATCTCTTGGGCTCAAGTGGTCCTCTTTTAATTTAATTTTTTATTTTTTGAGGCGGAGTCTCACTCTATCACCCAGGCTGGAGTGCAGTTACAGGATCTCCACGCACCACAACTCCTGCCTCCCAGGTTCAGCAATTCTCCCACCTCAGCCTCCAAAATAGCTGGGATTATAAGCACCCACCACCACACCCTGTTAATTTTTGTATTTTTGGCAGACAAATGGTTTCACCATGTTGGCCAGGCTGGTGTCAATTCCTGACCTCAAGTGATCCTCCTCCCTGGCCTCCGAAAGTGGTGGGATTACAGGTGTGAGCCACCGTGCCTATCCTCTTCAACATTTGAGTTTTCATTTTGGATGCTCCCATTGCAGTGTGTCCCTGAACTGGAACTCAAGTGAACACTTGGCTCAACATCCATTGCTGTTCTCCAGAAATCCAGCCCAATTTCTTGGTTAAATATAAGTTATGTTTAGTAGGCATTGCTTCATCTCTTTGACAAAACTCAAGATGCTTGCCCCTTGATGAACAAGGCTAACCTGCTGAGCCTTTGAAACAAGGAACTGGAGATGGTCCTTTTAAAAGGGCCTATGTCTGGGATTCCAGAAAACATGCAAACAGGGCCAATATGTGCATCTTTATTGTTGTGTCCATTTTAATCTGGTCAAGGAAAATTTCCACAGAAAACCCAGAATGCTGGAGCAAGATCTCATGCTGTGACCCTCCAAAGGAAAGCACTTTCTGTTGTCTATAAGAAATGAATGAGTTTTCCTTTAGAGTGTTACCGTTTGAGAAAAGCAACGATGAAGTTGATGCTGAACTTGGTAATACCTTTGCAGAACATGCTTATCATCTGGCTTGGATGATGGTGGGGTTCTTTTTTTTTTTTTTTTTTTTTTTTTAAGATAGTGTCTCTGTTGCTCAGGTCGGAGTGTGGTGACACTCCTAATGTAGGTCTCTTGTGCTCAAATGGTCCTCTTTTTTGGGACAGAGTGTTGCCCTGTGAGCCAGGCTGCGGTGCAGTGGCTCAACCTCAGCTCACTGCAACCCCCGCCTCCGAGTTTCAAGGGATTCTCCTGCCTCAGATTTCTGAGTAGCTAGGAATAGAGGTGACTAACACCACGCCTGGCTAATATTTGCATTTTTCTTTCTTATTTATTTACTTTTGATACGAAGTCTTGTTGTCACCCATCCTGGAGTGCAGTGGCAGGATCTTGGCTAACTGCAACCTTTGCCTCTTGGGTTCAAGCAGTTCTTCTGCCTCAGCCTCCCAAGTAGCTGGAATTACAAGTGCCCACCAACACACCTGGCTACATTTGTTTAAGTGGAGGATGGGTTTCACCCTGTAGGCTAGGCTGGTCTCTAGCCCCTGAGCTCTTAAGTGAGTTGCCCGCCTTAGCCTCCCAAAGTGCTGAAAATGCAGGTGCGAGCCACTTCGGCGAGCCACGATCACCTTTTACATGCTGGAAATTATTCTGGCACTGGTTTCTACATAGAACCTCACCTGGGGTCAGGTGGAATTGAAGGGGACACTAGTGTCCCTTGATAATGGGATGTGCACTGCTTACCAGGAGCACAGAGGTGGAGTGCATGGGATTTGAATTTTCATTGGGTAAATGAAGCTGAAATTATGCGTGCATGATCAGCTTACATATGCAACAAGATGTGTGTTTGCGGCAGTGTACATTCTTCAACATCTTAGATTCCATTTTGGATGCTCCCATCTGGACTGTGTGTCCCTGTACTGGAACTTGAGTGAACACTTGGCTGAAAATCCATTGCTGTTCTCTAGAAATCCAGACTAATTCTCTTGGCCAAAGATAAGGTATGTCTAGTAGGCATTGCTTTTTCTTTCTGGAGTCAAAACTCAGGAGGATTGCTCCTTGATGAGCAAGGGTAACCTGCTGAGCCTTGGAAGTGAGAAACTGAAGATGGTCCTTTTAGGGGTTTATGTTCTGTATTCCAGGAAACATGCAAACAGGGCCAGTAAATGCATCTTTATTTTTGTGTCCGTTTTAACCTGGTCAAGGGAAATTCCAACAAAAACCCCAGAGTGCTGGAGCAAGAAGATCCCAGGCTGTGACGCCCTGGAGGGGCGTGCTTTCCGTTGTTTGTAAACAAACAAAGCACATCCCTCTAGAGTGTCACCGTTTGACAAGAGCAATGTTGAAGTTGATGCTGACCTTGGTAACACAGTTGCAGAACATGCTTATAGTCAGACGTGGATGATGTTGGCGTTTTGTGTTTGTTCTGTTTTTTTTTTTTTTTCATACGACAGGGTGTGTGGTGCCCAGGCTGGAGTGCCGTGGCACTTCCAACCTGGATCTATTGGGCTCAAGTGGTCCTCTTTTTTGGGACAGAGTCTCACCCAGTGACCCTGGTGACACAGTGCAGTGTCAGGAACTCCACTCACTGCAACGTATGCCTCCTGGGTTCAAGCAATTTTCCTGCCTCGGCCTCCTGAGCAACTAAGATAACAGGCATGTGCCACCACACCCAGGTAATTTTTGTATTTTTATTGTTTATTTATTTTTGAAGCAGAATCTCACTGTTTTGTCCAGGCCGGAGTGCAGCGGTGCTATCTCGGCTCAATTGCAATCTTTACTTCCCACCTCAGCCTCCTGAATAACTGTCTGCAGGTATGCACCACCACCTGGCGAACTTTTGTATGTTTTGTATAGATGTGGGTTCACCATGTTGCCGGGCCTGGTCTCGAACCCCTGAGTTGAAGTGATCCTCCCACCTCGGCCTCCTAAAGTGCTGGGATGAGAGGTGTGAGCCACTGTGCCCAACCAGTTCTTGTGTGTTTCTGCTCAAATTTTATTGAGGAGCTTTTGCTGCATAGCCTGGCCTCTATCCTGGAGGATGTTTGTGCCTCTGACAATGTATTCTTCAACATCTTAGATTCCATTTTGGATAGCCCCATGGGGACTATGTGTTTCTGTGCTGGAACTCAAGCGAACACTTGGCTCAATATCCATTGCTGATCTCTAGAAATCCAGCCCAATTCTTTTGGTTAAAGATAAAGTATGTCTAGTGGGCATTGCATTTTCTCTTTGAGGACAAAAGTCAGGAGGATTGCTGCTTCATGATGAAGGCTAACCTACTGAGCCTTTGAAGTAAGAAAATGGAGATGGTCCTTTTAGGGGTTTATGTTCTGGATTCCAGAAAACACGAAAACAGGGAGAGTAAATACATCTTTGTTTTTTGTGTTCATTTGTTTTTTGAGACACAGTCTTGTTCTGTCGCCAGGTGCCAGGCTGGAGTGCAGTGGCGCAATCTTGGCTCACCACAATCTCCGCCTCCTGGGTTCAAGCAATTCTCCTGTCTCGGCCTCCTGAGTAGCTGGGACTACAGACACACACCACCACACCCAGCTAATTTTTGTACTTTTTTAGTAGAGGAGTGTCACCATGTTGGCCAGGATGGTCTTGATCTCTTGACCTCGTGATCCGCCCACCTCGGCCTCTCAAAGTGCTGGGATTACAGGCGTGAGCCACCACCCCTGGCTTTTTTGTGTTCATTTTAACGTAGTCAAGAAAGATTCCAAAAAAAAAAAAAAAAATTCAACATACTGGAGGAAGATCTCAGGCTGTGACCGTCTACAGGGAAGCGCTTTCTGTTGTCAGAAAGAAAAGAAAGTGCATCCTTGTAGTGGGTTACTGTTTGAGAAAAGCAACGTTGAAGTTGATGCTGATCTTGGTAATACGTTTGCAGAACATGCTTATGGTCAGACTTAGATGATAAAAGATGTTGTTTTTGTTTTTGTTTTTCTTAAGATCAGGTGTCTGTTGCCCAGGCTGGAGTGGAGTGGCACTTCCAACCTAGATCTCTTGGGCTGAAATGATCCACTTTTTTGGGACAGTCTTACTCTGTGACCTAGACTGGAGTGCAGTGGCAGAAACTCTCCTCAGTGTACCCTGTGCCTTCCGGTTTCAAGCCATTCTCCTCACGCAACCTGCCAAGCAGCTGGGATTAGAAGCATGAGCCACCATGCCCCGGTAATTGTTGAATTATTTTTCTATTTCTTATTGATTGATTGGGACAGGGTCTCATTGTCTTACCCAGGCTGGAGTGCAGTGGCACAGTCTCTGCTTACTGCAACCTCTGCCTCCCAGGTTCAAGCAGTTCTCCTGCCTCAGCCGCCTGAGTAGCTAGGATTACAGATGTGTGCCACCATGCCCAGCTAACTTAGAATCCATTTTGGATGCTCCCATCGGGACCGTGTATTCCTGTACTGGAACTCAAGTGAACACATGGTTCAAAATCCATTGCTGATCTCTAGAAATCCAGCCCAATTCTCTTGGTTAAAAGTAAGGTATGTCTAGTAGGCATTCCTTTTTCTTTTTGGAGACAAAGATAATTCCAACAAAAAATCCAGAGTGCTGGAGCAAGAAGATTTCATGCTGTGACTCTCCAAAGGGGAGCGCTTTTTGTTGTCTGAAGGAAAAGAAGGCGCTCCCCTTTAGAGGTTTACGGTTTGAGAAAAGCAACGTTGAAGTTGATGCTGATCTTGGTAATACATTTGCAGGGCAAGCTTATAATCAGACTTGTCTGATGGTGGGGTTCTGTTTTGGTTTTGTTTTTTGCCAAGACAGGCTCTCTTTTGCCCAGCCTGGAGTGTGGTGGCACTTCCAACCTAGATCCCTCGGGCTCAAGGTGTCCTCTATTTATCTATTTATTTAGAGATGGAGTCTCACCCTGTTGCCCAGGCTGGAATGCAATGTGTCCAGTTTAACCTGGTCAAGGATAATTCCAGCAAAAAAAAATCCATGGTGCTTGAGCAAGAAGGTCTTGCTGTAGCCCCCTTGAGGGAAACACTTTCTGTTGTGTGAAAGAAGAGAAAGTGCTTCCCTTTAGAGAGTTACTGTTTGAGAAAAGCAACGTTGAAGTTGATGCTCAGCCTCCCAAGTAGCTGGGATTACAGGTGCCCACCACCACACCCGGCTTTTTTTTTTTTTTTTTTGTATTTTTAGTAGAGACAGATTTTCACCATGTTGGCCAGACTGGTCTTGAGCAACAGGCCTCAGGTGATCCTCCTGTCTCAGCTTCCCAAAATGATGGAAATAAATGTGTGAGCGACTGTATTCGGCTTTGTCTTATATTTAAAATTGGGGAGGGGGGAAGATGCCCGTACCTAAATAGCAAATCATTTGTTATTCAAGTAGCTCTCAAATACATCGTTTATCAGAATTACAGATTTAACTGGGGGAGGGGCATAAACCAAAGGCATTGCTTTTTGTCTTTCGGATCAAAACTCAGGAGCATTACCCTTTGATGAATAAGGCTAACCTGCTGAGCCTTTGAAGCAGTTAACTGAGATGGTCCTTTTAGGGGTTTATGTTCTGGATTCCAGAAAACATGCAAACAGGGCAAATAAAGGCATCTTTCGTTTTGTGTCGAGTTTAACCTGGTCAAGGAAAATTCCAACAAAGAACCCAGAGTGCTGGAGCAAGATGATCTCCTGCTGTGACCCTCTAGAGGGAAGCACGTTCTGTTGTCTGAAAGAAAAGTTCGTGCATCCTTTTAGAGTGTCATTGTTTGAGAAAAGCAATGTTGAAGTCGATGCTCATCCTGGTAATGCATTTGCAGACCATGCTTATAGTCAGACTTGGATCATGTCGAGGTTCTGTTTTTGTTTTGTTTTTTTCCAAGGTAGGATCTCTGTTGCCCAAGCTGGAGTGGGTGGCACTTAGAACGAGATCTCTCGGGCTCCAGGGATCCCCTTTTTACTTATTTTAAATTTATTTTTATTTATTTATTTATTTTTGAGATGGAGTTTTCCCTTTTGCCCAGGGTGGAGTGCAATGGCACAATCTCAGCAATCTCCCCCTCCTGCCTTCAAGCGATTCTCCTGCCTCAACCTCCTGGGAAGGTGGGATTAGAAGCGTCCGCCACCACACCCAGCTAATTTTTGTGTTTTTAGTAGAGACGGGGTTTCGCCATTTTGGCCAGGCTTGTCTTGAACTCTTGACCTAAGGTGATCTGCTCCGCTTGGCCTCCCAAAACACTGGGATTACAGGCGTAAGCCACATGCCCCTCCTCAAGTGGTCCTCTTGAGTCAGCCTAGACTGTGGCCTCTTGGAGGATGTTCGTGTGTGTGACAATGCATATTCTTCAGCATCTTAGGTTTCATTTTGGTTGCTCCCATATGGACTGTGTGTTCCTTGTGCTGGAACTCAAGTGAACGCTTGTCTCAGCGTCCGTTGCTGTTCTCCAGAAATTCTGCCCAATTCTCTTGGTTAAAGATAAGGTATGTCTAGTAGGCATTGCTTTTTCTGTTTGAGGACAAAACTCTGGAGGATTTCCCTTTGAACAAGACTAACCTGCTGAGCCGTTGAAGCAAGGACCTGGAGATGGTCCTTTTAGGGGTTTATGTCCTCGATTCCAGAAAACATGCAAGCAAGGGCTATAAATGCATCTTTATTTTTTGTGTCCATTTTAACCTGGTCAAGGGAAATTCCAACAAAAAACCCACAGTGCCGGAGCAAGAAGATCTCATGCTGTGACCCTCTGAAGGGAAGCACTTTCTGTTGTACAAAAAAAAAGCAAAGCGCTTCCCTTTAGAGTGTCACCGTTTGAGCAAAGCAACGTTGAAGTTGATGCTGAACTTGGTAATACATTTGCAGAGCATGCTTATAATCAGACTTGAATGATGGTGGGTTTCTGTTTTGTTTATTATTTGTTTGTTTGTTTGTTTTCTAAGACTGGGTCTCTGTTGCCCAGGTTGGAGTGTAGTGGAACTTCCAACCTAGGTCTCTTGGGCCTCAATGGTCCTCTTTTTTGGAACAGAGTCTTGCTCTGTTACCCAGATTAGAGTGCAGTGATGGAATCTTGACTCAGTGCAACCTCCGCATACCAAGTTTAAGTGATTCTCCTTCCTCAGCTTCCCGAGTAGCTGGGATTACAGGGGCCCTTCATCACGCCCAGTTAGTATTTATTGTTTTAAATGATTCATCTATATTATATTTTTTGAGACAGAGTCTCGCTTTCTCCCAGGCTGGAGGGCAATAGGGAGATCCTGCTGACCGCAACCTCTGCTTCTTGGGTTTAAGCAGTTCTCCTTCCTCAGCCTTCTGAGTAGCTTGAATTACAGTTTGCCTGCCACCACACCCGACTACTTTTTGTATATATTTTTTTAGTAGAGATTATGTTTCACCATGTTGGCCAGGCTGTTCTCAAACCCCTGACTTCAAATGAGCCGCTCACCTCAGCCTCCCAAAGTGGTGAGAATACAGGTGTGTTTCACCATGGGTGGCCATCAACACCTTTAACTCCATGGAAATTATTCTAGCACTGGTTTATAGAACGTCACTTGGGGTCAGGTAGAGTTGAAGGGGACCTCAGTGTCCCTTGAATATGGGATGTGGACTGCTTAACTAGAGCACGGAGGTGGAATGCATGGAGTTTCAGTGTTTATTGAGTAAATGAAGCAGAACTCTTGGGTGCAT